AGTACGCTAAAAGGAGTGGAGATGCAAAACGATTTGCAAAGTTGGAACGAGAAATTAAAACATAATAAAGGTAAGAACAAACATGCTCTTTTGTCGAGAGTCTCAAATATTTCATTATTAGAGAAAGGGCAATTGTTATAGTAAGCTGAAGGTGAGATTTTCTATTTATTTTCTATTCAAGAAAATTATTTTTAAGTTACATGGGGCATTATATCAATATTACATTAACCTCGGGAGAAAATGACATATTGTGGTCACAATTGGACGACATGATTTATGGTAGAAATAATTTGAATAATGTTCAATGTTTTGATGCAATCATACATTCCGTTGAGGTAAATGCTTAGAAACGCTGTTGAGTTCTAAGATAGGCAGAAGTAGAGAACTAGAAAAATATTTTATAAAAGTCTGGAGTATATGTCTATACCACTGCTAGCTGTATATTTTTTTACAGCACACGTTTGTTAACGAGGCCGAGACCCGTATGATTGATCGTATACAACAAATGATGTCAAAACTACCTAGTTCGACACCCAATTATGATCAAATGCGTCAGGTAATAGTTTATCACGTCGAAGAAAGTAGTATGAAAATATATCTGTGCATCAAACTTATCTCTGATTTTTGTTCCTATTCCTTTAGCGATTGAAAAAGCTCAATGTTGTTCAAGATTTTTCCTATGACGAAGGTCAAATCGACACAGATGATGATAGTGATAGTGTTCCGGCAACAGATAATAAACAACAGCAATAAACTGTGATTTTTTAATTTTTTTTCTGTGATATATGTAGAACTATGTGAAATAAAAAACTAAAAGAAAGAAATTAAGTGTTTTTATTACCTTGGTTATTTTAGGGTGCGCTTACTGAATAATGTGCGTTCAATTAAAGGAGTTGTGTGAAAAAGTATACTTTCCCGTGTCAGGCTCTTGATGTAATAGAGTCGTGTTAATTGTATAGACAAGGTTGATATTCTTATCTTATGTATTGTACCTTTTATAAACAATACTTGACTTGAGCTAAAACCGGTACTCTCTGTGTTGATTTTTGATGCATCCTTCCCCCTAATGCATTCAGACATCGTAAATCAACGGCTTTACTTTAGCATCGATCGACTGTTTATTCCATCAAAAGTGATGCTTCGGTTTTATGGATTTGCGGTCGGCTCTTTTCCTCTGTCAGTTCAG